GTTTTGCTTCTATCAGTCTTGGAGAAATGATGGAAATGGTGCTTCTGAAGACACTAGTACAGCGGGAGCTATCCTGATATTTGGAATTTTTGAATACATAAGAAAATATCTACAATTTTACAAAGTTATTAAGACCACACTTACACGCTGATGAATGCCAGTGTCTTGTATTTAAATATGGCTCTTTCTTATCTTTGAAGTCATTTGTATCTGCTACAGCTTTCTCAGTGAACCTTGTAAGAACTATTATTAACCCATTGCCTTGTTTTATCCTTGTAGATCATTTTGCTGTGCCCAGGCAACTTTAAAAATAACTGCTTTGCCCCTGTATTCATGTGTGTGTGTGTGTGTGTGTGTGTGTGTGTGTGTGTGTGTGTGTACATTTAATTTGGAAAAAACATATTGAGCAGGTAGTTGCAGAGATAATACAGAAATACAGAGGGATCCTGTGTACGTACAGATGGTCCTCAACCTGGGGGTATTTTCTCCCTTTGCTGCTCCCAAGGATGTTTGGAAATGTCTGGAGGCCCTTTTGGTTTTCACAGATGGATGTGCTACTGGCATCCAGTGTGGAGAATAGGGATGCTGCTTTACGTGCGAGAGGAGAATAGATTGCCTCCCACATGCAAGAGTTCACCAGCCTACAGGGTAGATAGTGCTGCGGTTGAGAAACTCTGCTCTAGACGCTTGACCAGTTTCCCTAGTGTTATCATGTGAAACTACCATGACACATACATCAAAATTAAGAAATTAACCTTGGTTCAATATCATCAAGCTATGGAATTTTTCAGATTTCCATTTGTTCAAACTAATACCCTTTGGTCCCGAGTTTACTCCTCTTTAGTCTGATCCCGTGTGTGACAGTTTCTCCATCTTCCTTTGATTTTCATGACCTTGGTCTGCCTTTGTGTTTTTGAGCTTGATACTTTTGAAGAGAGTTGTAAGTGTTTCTCACCTGGCTGTGATACTGACTCCATTCACATAGCACACAGGCATCATGTGTAAATGTGGTGTGCTTTGGGGTTTGATCCGTCACTGCAAGTTTCATGGCATTTAGAGGGTAGGGATGACTGGTAATCGTAGTGGTTGCAAGCTCAAGACGGTCCCGTGTAACAAGGCATTTCCTCAGCAAAATGGCAACCACAGTGCCCTCCCTGCCACCCAGAGCTCTCAAGTCCTTTCGAGTAACTCATGTAGACTGAAATGCCCTGCTTCAAGTCTAGCAAAAGGCAGGTAGTCAACTTCAAAGTAAAAGCTTGATTTTTTAGAGTTTCAGTCCAGGACTTTTTGTATCTAACAGTAAGTGTCTCTACTGAAAAATCTTTGCTTTAATGTTTTCAGCAACAATTTGAATATTTTGGTAAATCTTCATTTCTAACTAGATGAAATATTTTCATTTTATTTGCTGAGATTTTACAGTAAAGCATGAGTTGCAGCCCAATGGAAACACTGAAAAAAGAACTAGAATTCATAGTAAGAGATAGCGTAGTAGTTCCGTGGCGATGGGGCCAGGAAAGCATTTGGGGGCCCAGCTGTGTTGAGGGAGGTGTGCGCATCCCTCCTGCTGCTTTTCTTAAAGCCCTTCTCCTCCCCTGCCAGTGTGTACATTTATTTCCTTGTATCTTCTGTCTCTGACCCCTTAGAAAGCAAGATCTCTGGGAGGAGGGACTTTGCTTAGTTTGTAGCATATTCTCTGAGTCTCTGAAGGGAAATACCATAAAATCCATGCTTGAACAGTACTTAAAGAAGCTTGAGCTGGAATGAACAACACAGGCCAAGTGGCCAAATGACCTCTTAGCCGGTTTCTGGCCTCCTCTCGTATGTTAGCGATACGGCTTTGTACTTGTCTAATTTGGGCATATGGCATGTGCTGCACGTAATACTCCGTCTTTTTCCTTTGACAGTGTGTGTTGAGATTTACCCTTCTGTAACACACATGGAGCTGTAGTTCAGTAGTTTGCAAGAGCAGGTCATTGTGTCCTTCACGGGATGTTTGGGAGCACCTGCAGACACTGCTGATTGTCACTGCTGGAGGTGGTCCTAATGCATGTGGCCGAGAGAGGCCAGGTTCGATGCTCCAAGTCCCCAGTGCACAGGCCATCCACCCCCCACACAGAATTATCCGGCCCAGTAGTCCAGGAGCCCATTGGCCTATTTGTTCCCTTTAATCTGTGGACTAGTATTCCCTTGACAGCATGTACCGTGTTTGCTTCACTCAGTCCACTCCTGGTGGACATTTTGGCTGCTCCAACTCGCTGCTCTGACAGAGTGCTGCCCGCAGCCTCACTGATATGTGTGTGTGTGTGTGTGTGTGTGTGTGTGTGTCTGTGTGTGTGTGTGTGTGTGTCTGCACGCGCAGTGAGTTTCTGGAAGCCGCGCTTTGTTCCAGGGAACACTCCCCAGTGCTGCTACCGGATGGCTGCCCCACCCCCCACCCCCCGACACCGCGGTACTGCCTGGGACTCCCGTTCTCTGTCTTTGCAGCATTTGATATTAACTTTTTAATGTTTCCCAGCAAGAAGAGGGTAAATAAGCAGATCATTTTTTTTACATTTACATGATCTGGTTGGTTATCGATAAGGCAAAACCATGAATAATTCACACAGCATTCTACACAATGAGGGCAGTGTTTTTGGCAAGCACTCAGCACTTCATGGTCCTCACCTTTGTATCTTGATGTGGCTAAGAACTCCCCCCTCCCATTTTCGGAACCCCAGTCCTATTTTTTCTGCCAGCAGAGGGCACTGTCCCTCAGAGGTTCTCCACCGGTGTGATTTTTTTTTTTTTTTGACAGGTACTCCCTCCTCCGCCCCCGCCCCCGGCACCCCAGGAATATTTGGCAGTGACTGGAGATATTATTTATTTTCACAATGGGGGTATGCCACCAGCACCTAGAGCAGGGAGGCCAGGGATTCTGCTACACCCCTCCAGTGCAGAGGACGGCAGCCAGCCAACCGCAGTTATCGACCCCAGGTGTTCCCAGGGCCTCGGGGAGAGACCGTGGCGTGGATGAGATCCCGCTCTGTGACTCTATCCAAAAAAGACACGGACAAACTGTGTAACAGAGAACTGCCTCCTGTTTCTATTTCAGATAGGGGCAAGGCGAGGAAAGGGGAGATGCCTCCTGGGGTGGGGAGGGAGGGGAGGGTGGGCAGGGGGCAGGAGGTGGTCGTGGTGTCAGCAGGGGCTCCTCAGCGCCCGGAGCAGAGGCTTCCCAGAGGCCGGGGGCTGGACGCGCAGGCAGGTACCCCTACATCTGTCCGCGCGGACCTGAAGGCTCCGGGCTCAGCCGCCACCCGTTGGTGTGGTGGCCTTCGAGGCGGGGAGGTGCGCTGAGGCTCCTTTTCCTGCCCTGGCGCGGGGTGCGGGCCCTCAGCTCCATGTCCTTGGCCTGGCGCGGGCACCGCCTGGCGGGCGGGCCGCTGGAGAGGCCGTCTCTGTCCCCAGGCTGGGGGACCTGCAGGGCGTGGTGGCTCCGTGTGCGCCGGGGCGGCGGGCGGAGCAGCGCCAGCTCCCAACCAGAGTCCTGCGCTGGCCGGCAAGGGCTCGCCCCGCGGCGGTCTGGCGGGGCGGGGGTCCAGCGTCCTGCTGAGCCAGCGCCCTCGGGCGTCGGGGGCCTCACCCCTCCGGGCTCTGCTGCGGGTCCAGCCGGGCGGGACGGCGGGGAGCGGTCGCGAGCGGACGCAGAGCTACGGCTGGGCCCGGCGGTGGGCGATGGTCGGACCCAGGCTCTGCCCAGGTAGTGTCCCATGGCGACGGTGAGGCGGGCGCACTGTTCTACTTCCCGACGTTCCGAAGGTCCGATGTGCCGACGTTCCACGGCTTCGCCGCGCAAGGACTGCACGTAGGGCGTCCGGGCACGCGGTCCTGCCCGCGCCAGGTCAGCGCCCGCTGGGCTCGCGACGGTCCCGGGGCGTGCGCGCCCTCTGAACAAGGGGCCCCTCCTGCTTGGCACTGCTGGGCCCAGGGGGGTTGCCCCTGGCCAGAGGAGCCGAGGAGCCGTTGCCTTTTGTACCTGACATGTAAGGGGGAAAACGGAATCATTCCTACCAGGTCGCGAAAAGTACAGGAAATTGATGGGCAGGCACTCTCTTGCGTCATTGTAAAATGAACATAGTACTCCTCTAGGATGCTTTTTAAGGAAAGCTAATCAGTTCAGTTTTACTAGCCTTTAAAGGGATGTGTTCTTTTTTTTCTGGAATGGTTGCTAATATCAATGTTTGCCGCTTTGTTCATAAGGAAATGGTGAAAGCTATTCAGCATTTCTGTTTTACCTCCAAAAACATTGAGTTAATGTGAACTCTCTAAAATCCAACCTTCATATATTTCATACATTCATATATAGATCATTCCCAGTCTGAACTCTAATGCCATTTCTTTCTTGTCATTTCTACTGGTAATCCATGTATACAGAGCAGAATGAGACACAGTTCCAATTTGCAGTTGGAAATCAGGTAACTACAAATAGAGTTTTCAAAGGCTGCTGGTAAACTGTTGATAGCATATCAGTTTGGAGGTCTGTTATTGGGCTGGCCCTAATACTAGAGGTGGGAAGGAGCAGAAACAGTGGCCAACAGAGCAAGCAAGGATTGGATCAAGAGTGGGCAACAGATTTTTCTTTTGTGTCTGAGAGGTGGAACGCTTGAACTAAAACACAAAAGGCTTCTGTAGTTCAGAGAGAGGCCACGTGCTGGGCAAGTAGGCATGCATGCTGTTAGCTAATGCTGATGGAGAATGAGATCCCTAATGGTCTCTACTGAGAAATTCTTTTTTAATTTGGTAGATTCTTAGTTAAGGAATAATCCCTAATTATATGATTTTGCAACAAAGCAAATTTCCTATTTTGTATTCTTCTTAATAAGACATAGCTTCATAATGGTAGACATGACTTTTCATTCCTAGGTAAGATGCATCTTTAGATGTAGTAACACTAGATTGGATGTTCTAATGCAATCTGGCAGTATTTCCTTAAACGTCTTTTTTCTTTCCATCATCTGCAGCATTCCCCATGTTCTACTTTGCAACGTTACCCAGAGGGTGTCATTCTGGTTTGTGGTTACAGATCCTTCAAAAAACCACACCCTTCCTGCTGTTGAGATACAGTCAGCCATAAGGTAATCACCGCTAGATATGTCTTCTGCTGGTAAATCAACTTGTTGACTAATTCAACTGTTTTCATAGATTTTGAAGAATTCACTCTGCTTCACAATGACTCATTTATTAATATGTCAAAGATTTCACTTTGTTAGTTTGTATTAGAGGTCAGTGTAGATCTGTGCTTTTCCTCCCAGGGCAGTGTTCCCTCCAAGGAGACATTTGGCAATATCACAATTGGTGGGGGATGGAGGCCAACCAACATCAAGTAGGCAGAAATTAGGGGTGCTGCTAACCATCCTACTATACACAGGACAACCCTCACAGCAAAGAATTACTTGACTCCAAATGTCAATCATGTTGTGCTTGAGAAGCCCTGGTTTTGATGTTTGCTAAGAACATTCAGTAGTGTTATCTTTTGGTAAGAGCACTTTGTGTGGCCCTATTGTGTGATGGTTCATCACACAGATCTTGGAGCCCGAATGCTTAGGTTTTTAATTCTCATTTTGTCTCTTGCTAACTATTTGAATACAGACAAGTTACTTCCCCTCATTTTGCTTTCCTCTTATCACCTATAAGATGGGAATCATGATGGCACCCCTCTCTCAGAGTTGTTGAGAGATTAAATGAGTTAAAAAGTATAAGGCGTTTTGAGGGACAAGTCATACCTTTGACTTTTATTTAGAAGCCAAGAAAAATATTCACATTTCTTGGGTCTCTAGGGACTTACATTCTTTAGTCAATATATATTCTTTACTTTTAAAAGATATGTTTTAAGGGAAAAAGGCAATGTCATGACTGTCATACAAATTAAAAATAAATGCTATCAAGGTTTTTATTATTAATTAATGGGGGAACTAACAAAATGATAAAATCAGTTCAAAGGAGACTTCAAGGCACCACGCATATACAGTGAAGGAGGAATGGTGATGTTCATTTACAAAGAGATGCCCCACCCAGGCTTCGCACTGGGCAGTACTCAACCATGTTCCACCAGACACAGTTTCCTTGGTCTTCTGGCACAAGAATCTTTTATATTTCATCCGTTTTCTACAATTTGTAGATTTGCAAAATAACTCAAAGACAATAAAAGGTGGAAATTGTCCAGAAAAGTGCCCTCTCCAGATCCTCTAATATTTTTTAACCCATTTCGAGTTTTACATAGTTTTTCCTGACAGTTCGACTCCTCTTCTCTCTTGATCATAACAACCTTTCAAAAGTGAAATATATTCTTTACTTCACAGAAGTGGAAAGATGCAATGTGTGTTTGTTTCAATTAGTGTGCACGTTATGTGGGTCAGAACTCCACATCCCACACATGATTGATGTTGGTGGCAAAGGTATATGAGGAACGAGGCAGGAAATAAACTATTTCCTGAGAAAGAAAAGCTGAAACCACAGAACTCTCCTCACAAAGGACTCCTCCCAAGTTACTGAAATGCATATTGTTCTCTTTACCAAGGGAAATATCTAGTGAGGGAACTCATTTGCTGTCTGTAAAATATTAACATTCAAGATAACACGTATATAATCAAATGCCAAAGGTTTTTGTGTGAGCAGTCATCTCTTTACTTTGCTGAAGCAAAGACATTGAGCATCTGTACCAGCGGGTAGTGATTTAGCCTGGTGAACAAAAAGGTTTGAACGGAATTGTTTCAGCGCTCTGCCCCTAAGGATGCGTTAAGACTCACTACTTGGGAAGTAAGAATCAGGAAGATTGTATTTCCCGTGACAAGGGTTTTATGCAAGCCCTGTGATCTGGGAGGACTACAAGGAAAATGAAGGCACTGTGGTTAAACCAGCCTTCAGTTACTGTGAGGAGGGAGAGGCAGTGCTCTGGGTGAAGGTTCAGGATGTAGATGAATCTTCATGTTCACAGGAAAGTGTCTGTTTTGGAGGTTCTAGCAGGAGAAGCCATTTGGGGGGTAAGGATGGCCAGTAGGATGAGGATTTATCAGGGAATGGACAGGGCTCAGCAGGATTGTAGGAAAATAAAGGAAACAATACCGGGGTGGGGGGGGAAGGATAGAGCGAGAAGAAAAGAGATGGACCCTACAGAGCAGGTTATAGGAATTTCAAGGCTGAAGAATCTATGTGGTTGGGCAAAAATACTAATTCTACCTAATATTTGTATAACACTTTCTGATTCACAAGGCATGTTCTTATGCATCTGCAGCACTTAATATCAACACCAGTCATTTTTGAGTAGTTACTATCATCCCTGATTTATAAATGAGGAAATCAAGGCTCAGGGAAATTTAACTGATTTGCCGAGGTCACCATGCTAGAAAAATAAAAACTGAAGGCCTGAACTCAGGCTTACTGTTACTACATCCAGTAGTTTTTTTTCCCTTCTCTAGCAAAGTGTCCCCACCAGTGGAATTAGGTGAGAGACTGACTGACCAGTTTGAAGATGTCTATTTTAGCTCTGTCATGAGGGCCTGGCCTTATTCAAGGCCAATTTGGTTGGAAGACATCCATGGTGATTGACACTTACTGGAGATTTCAGTGGTGGGTTTAGTCTGTACTGAGCCACAATTTCTAGTCAGCCTGAGAGGTGAGAGAACAGGGAAGTGTTAACCAACCGGGTAGGTAGACAGAGAACACAGAGCAACTTCTCATTCTACTCTGAGTTGTACCTCAGTAGTGGTTTATTGTTTTGCAGAAGGGTTTGTGCATTACTGCCCCCCATTGGCACTGATGTCCCAGAAGTAACCAGAGTCCTGAGCTTCAGGCTCTGCCCACCAGGTTTTATTTCCTGAGCAGTAGTACCTACATTAAAATGACAGAACTCTGTGTAGACTGGCTTGCATAAATACCGATGGCCTGAAAAGTTTGTGAAAAGTGAGTGATAAACATGAGAAAAAAAGAAAAACAGGAACAAAAACATGAAGCCAGGAGCAGCTGCAAATTCATCAATGTGATCTCTTTTTTTTTTTCCCATTAGTTCAAGAAATAGTTCAAGAAGATTATCAATATTAGGTATGAGAAAAGAAAATATTCCATAGTTTGATTAAAAGTATGTTGAAATTATCCCCTGCTGTAGATGATCTGGCTGCAACTGTCCTTCACATTCATGAATAATCATGCCTCAGCACAGATTTTTATTTGCTCGAGGAAGTCTTTCTTGATAGCTTGATGCTGGTCTGCAGAGATTCTCAAGCCATTACTGTCAGGTTCATGACCTGGGCTATCCAACCCAGTAGTCCCCAGCCACATGTGGTTAGCAAGCACTTGAAATGTAGCTCGTCCAAGGTTAGATATGCTCTAAGTGTAAAGTACACACTGAGTTTCAAAAAATTACTACAAAATAAACTGCGAACCAGCTCAATATTGATAACATGTTAAAATTATATTTTCTCAGATATATTGGGCAGAAATATTGTTTGAATCAATTTCAACTCTTTCTTTGTCCTTTTTTTTAAAAACGCAGCTCCTAGAAATGTTTAAGTCACGTATGAGGCTCATATGATATTTCTATTTTCCAGCGCTGCTCTGGAGGTAGATGAAGTCAGCCAGTCCAGTGGGAATTCAGTAAAGGCCGTATAATATCTGCACGAAATTACCTCACCTAGTTTGTAAATTCTGGTTAGAAATTCATTTATTTGGTTTCAGTCAAATAAGTCATAGCATGAAGTCAGGGCTGCTGAATGAGAAGGCAACTTTTCAGCTGTGTTTTAAGGAGCAAGTAGGGGTTCTTCAGACCAAAGTGTGTAGTGAGCACAGGAATGGAGACATGGTATTATTAATTGTTCAGTAAACTGCAAATAGTTCCATATGATTAAAGGAAATGGTGTTTTAGGAGTCTGGGGCAATCCCTCCCCAGTTGCCACCATCACCCAAAACGCAGGTTTTCCCCAGGAGAAGTCACACATTTACCTTTGTATTTTTTTCTAGACTTTCAGACTCCTAAAACACCATTTCCTTTAATCATATGGAACTATTTGCAGTTTACTGAACAATTAATAATACCATGTCTCCATTCCTGTGCTCACTACACACTTTGGTCTGAAGAACCCCTACTTGCTCCTTAAAACACAGCTGAAAAGTTGCCTTCTCATTCAGCAGCCCTGACTTCATGCTATGATGTCCTTCCCCCTCGGCTGCGCTCCCACTGTGCCCATATTTGCGTCATTCACACCGAGCATTTTGCGCCACACTGCGGCTGTGGAGGGGCTGATCTGCCGTCCTTCCAGACTGTAAGCTCCTTGGTATTTTCATTTCACTTTGTATCTCCAGCACCTAACACAGTATCTTGCTTTGTAAGTTTTCAGCAAATATTTCTTGAACTAATGGGAAAAAAAAAAAGAGATCACATTGATGAATTTGCAGCTGCTCCTGGCTTCATGTTTTTGTTCCTGTTTTTCTTTTTTCTCATGTTTATCACTCACTTTTCACAAACTTTTCAGGCCATCGGTATTTATGCAAGCCAGTCTACACAGAGTTCTGTCATTTTAATGTAGGTGCTACTGCTCAGGAAATAAAACCTGGTGGGCAGAGCCTGAAGCTCAGGACTCTGGTTACTTCTGGGACATCAGTGCCAATGGGGGGCAGTAATGCATAGACAAGCATCTGTCCGGCAGCCGGCACTGCAGCTTATGCAAAGAATACCACAGCACAATTGCCCTTCCCAAACTGTCTAGTCAGCCTAAAGCCTCTTACTATGGGGATGCTCTGTTTACAGAGATAGGGGGAATTATGGAGACAGAGGTCTGTACCTTCTGTTTCTAATTTTTTTTCTGTCTTGTTTTGTTTTTAATCACTATATTTTAGAATGAATAGAAACCGAATCAACAGTGTCTTCTTTTTGAATGACCAGACTCTGGAATTTTTACAAATTCCTTCCACTCTTGCACCTCCCACTGACCCATCTGTGCCCATCTGGATTATTGTATTTGGTGTGATATTCTGCATCGTCATTGTTGCAATCACGCTACTGGTTTTATCAGGAATCCGACAACGCAGAAGGTAAGATATGGAAAGGGAGTAATTTAAAGAGCATCATCCTATTTGTTCATGACTTAGAAAAATAAGGAGAGAATTTTGCCTGAAATTTGAAGATAATGCCTTAAATCTGAAACTTTGAAAAAACTGGTGATTTTTCAAATTATCACTTATGTTCTTGTTTTTAGAGACTTTTTAGAGTCCAATGTCCCTTAGCTAGCTCCTTCCACTACTTCCTTTCTCTCTGTTCTACACCGTATGAATGTTTCATATCCAGAGTTGATTTCAACATCTTTGTTAGGACCTCATAAGCTGCAGAGCTAAACAGACTTGCCGGGCAGGCAGAGTGAATCTTCCGCAGTCATCTACCTCCAAATGCCGGCAGTCCCACCTTCCTTCCATGCCTCCTTCCTTGGCCTGCCTCTTGGTCCCGTGCCTGCAGCCATCTTGTGCCACATATTTTTGCTCTGTTTATATTTCCCGCGCTTTGATGGATGCTTGTCTCTCTAGTGTCTATGATATTACATAGAACTGTGTTCCTCAAAGTGGACTTCAGATCCACTCTCTGCACCAGAATCACCTGAAACACTTGTTTACAATGTAGATTCCTTTGCCCTCCCACAGGCCCTCTAAACTAGAATCTCTGAAGAGGATGCATGTTAATGACTATCCAGTTTATTCTACTTCACTTAGTGTGAGAGCTTCCAACGTAACTGCTTCTATATAGATTCCCACTTTTCCAGGTCATCTGCCTGGATTCTGAGGCCCTTGTACACTTTGCACCTAAATTACCAATGTTACTTCAAGAGTGAATTACAGAGCAGGTGGGGAGTCACTAAGGTGGGGGCAGGAGAGGAGACAGGATTTCTCAGCGTGATGAAAGGAGGACAGAATTTGGTTTCCCAGTATCTCTGATCCAGAGGGAAGTGGAGCGAGTCAGCTCTTCCCTAGATACTTCATTGCATCGTAAACTTTCGCTTCTAACAGTGAAGAAGAGGAATTCTGGTGAGTGAGAAACGGGGGCACCTGCACTGGTTTCCCAAAGGGTTGGTGGTCACATGGTACATGGGGGACATGTTTGGCGAAGTGTGTATTCAACTAAATGTTTCTCCTGAGGTTTACTGCTTTCTATATGTTCCATCCTGGTTACCAGCAGAAGGTAATCAGTTAAAATATGGGGGCTTTGTAGTTTTTGTCACAGATGATAAATGAAATGCTATGGGATAAATGTGATTTATTTATTTATAAAAATTAAACTGTAAGCTTAAGATCAAGTTCAAGTTGTACTTGCTTGATTTTCTTCATCTTGGCATGACATGTGATGTAAAGAGTGTTCATACCAGTTGATAATTTGTTTTGTTTTTTGAATATTAAAAAAATATTCTCCTGTAATATTTGAATACCCATGTTTAAGATTTTTAAGGTTTTTTTAGATTTCCATTTCTGTGTGTCTTTCTTAATTTCTCTCATGAGTGTCTTATAGTTTTCAGAGTGCAGCTCTTTCACCTCCTTAGACTTTTAAGTTTTGTATCACCCCAAAAGTGCTCTGATTCTGTGGCTTCTAATGATGGCAGCCTTTATAAATACACTTCACCTCCTTGGTTCCCAGTTTTCTCACGAGTATGATACAGCTAGAGTAGGAGTTAGGAGAGGGGACTCTCGAGATAGACTGCTTAGACGCAAAGTCTTTTTCTCCTGGATTCTGCTCTTGTATATAACCCATCAGCTGTGTGCACATCAGGAAGCACAGGTCATGAGTCAGGAAGCCAAGCTCAGGGAAATATGCTTTGTGGTGCTAGAGTCAAGTTGGTTAAGTCTTTGCTGTCTGGGCATAGATAACTTTGCTGGAGTGACAACTAAGTATACGGGAAATAATGAATATGGTGGGATAAAAAGAGTTAATTCAGTAGAGTACTCAGAGTGGAGCCCGGTCCACAGTGAGCATTCAGTAAGTGTTAGCTGTTACTGTCACTTTATTGTCCTGCCACTTTCTGGTCTTTGAGCAAGTGTGCGCTGGGATCAGCTACCTTTCTCCTGCTGAGAAGATTCTACAGTAATATAATAACTGGTTGTGTGGCATCATCATCTGTTGCCTGGGAGAAATGAGGCTATTGTCATAATCTCGCTTTCACAAATTCATCTCATGTGCACATGAGGAAGACAGATGGACAAATCTCTTGTGTAAACCTAAAGAGCATCAATAATTAGCAAATATAGTCAGGACAGTTATGACAACCTTCTGAAGATAAATTGATTTGTTGTGTTTTAAGTTTGATACAGCCTGTGTTGGGTTTCTCTTGGGCAAAATATTCAAAGGGGAGGAGAGGGTGCACTTTGAACTGGGGGGAGCCTGATCGTTGTGGCAAAGGCCTTTGTAATCATGGGAGAGAGAGGTGTTGCCTCTAAAGGCCTTAGTCTTGAGGAAGACAAAGATTTGTTCAACAGTCTGATCCATACGTTAGATAATAATGCACATAGTGTTGTGTGATATGAAATCTTAAGCTTCGAAGCCCAGGAGGGACCCCGGGGTCATCTAAGTAAGCATTCTGCTTCTATGGAGAAGAGTGCCAATGTCATCTAAGACATATCCGTAGTTAGACGTACTTTTGAGGAGGTTTCTTAAGTAAAGCTTTAGCAGTTCTGTTAGCTGTGTCAAGAGCAGCATTGCAGTGATTATTCAGAGCCACTAGGTTCAAGTATGAAGTCATTGGAGCCCAAACTAGGTGAACTCAAATACCACCTATATCCCCTTTAGCTGAATGACCTTGGTTGAGTCATCTAATTTCCACAGTTATGTTTCTCCATCTGTAATAGGGAGATAATATCTCACAGGGCTTCCGTGAAGATTGGATGAGATAAATGTGTATAAAGTACCTGGAATATAATATGCACTAAAGAAACAGTAATTATTATTATTATCCAAGATCAGCTTAAGTCATTTCTGTGATTAAGGGATGCTGAGAAAGGGTCTCTTTTCCATCCAGATGTTGCTATCATACTGTAGAAAATTTTCCAGTTCAGTGTCTCATTGCTTGGGATTTTATTAGTTAACGAACACCTATTTTAGAAGGCAAATTATCTTACTAGGCCTACTGTTTACTATAATAGTGGTCAACTGGTTAACCAGCTCTCTAAAAAATAAAAAATTTATATACCCCAATTGTAGCATTTGCCAACTTCCAGTCAAGTATGAAATTTCTGAGTACTTAACATTCACTTAAAGCTTGTGCCGGCCAGCTTCAGTGCACCTTTATAACTGCCCCCTCCTTGTGTAATAATTTGAGAAGGCTGCTTCTCTATCACAATCTAGTTGAGAATAGCAGTTTGGGGAAATGAGAGATTTGCTGAAGGGAAAAAGTTGGGAAAGTGCTGTTTTTTTGAACTTTTGAGCAACAGTTGGGGTGCTGAGTGGATAGGAAGGCTACCATGATGAGCTGTGTATAGTTCGCGGCGATGCCTGTGTCAGGTCTGTGTCCAGCCCCAGCCTGGAAGTGGATGTTCTAGCTCTTCGGTCAGCTTGATGATGCCGGTGACGGTGCACGATAGCGGCCGTGATGGTCACCACGGTGATGTTTTTGACATGATGTGTGTTTTAGTAGAATGAATACTCTTGGTTTTGGGGTCTAGTCTCAGGCCCTGGCATTTATTAGCTGAGTGATCTTGAGCAGGTCATGTGTGGCAAATGAAGATCATATTTTCTTATATAGTTATGATGATAAGAAGACAAAGGAGAGAATATACACAAGTGCTTTCTACCTTGGAAAGTGCTTTATCAATACGAGCTACTAGCACTACCATCAGAAAGCAGTTACAAAGTGCTAATTCTGTGTAACGTGGCACTTTGTGCTATAAAAGGAGTCACAGACACAGCACCATTTCAGACCTGCATGTACATAGAATTGATTTATGAATACTGCATATAAAGAGACTGTTATAATATTAGGGTCTTAAGAAGGAACCTTAACAATGATCTAAATCCATCTTCCCAGAAGCCAAGGCTCAGAGAGGTAAAAATATCTTATTCCTTTATTGACCATCCATTCTGTGGTAGGAGCTGTAGTGTGTATCATGGAAGACACATACACGGATAACATGATTGGTCCTTGCCTGCAAGGAGATTGTGATCTTGTAGTAATCAAAGACAGGTCAGGGACTCAGGACATAGAACCCTGGTTATATTCTATTCCTAAAAGGTCAGTAGTAAATAGAAATGCACTAGATTTCTACAGATCTTGCTTTTCGTACAAGGGGATGGGGCTCAGCCAATATTTTCATATACTGAAACTTTGCATTCTTATAAAATCTTAATTAAGTGAATTGTCTCAAAAATAGCAGTCTAAATGAAATCAGAAATGTTACACCAAATAACTGTTCTTCTTTGCTGTTCTTTAATGTACATACTCAATAGGAATCAAACACGTGTTCTGAATGAAGCCTGGGGTAATTAAATAGAGTTCTACGTCCACTCCTTCCATCAATCTCGTTCCATTCTGAAAGACAAGTTGCTCTATATAATTTATATCTCAGCTCCTTCATTTGAAAAGCAGGGATAATAATATCATATACATAATACTGCAATGGCAATTAAATGAGATGATGTATACAAAGCACTTAGTCTGGTTTCTGCCATGTAATACATACTAATTATTATTATTGCTGCTACATGGCAGATAAAAAGTGATGTGCCTGTAATCTCATGGTTAGAAGGTAGTGGTACCAGTATTTAAAACCAGAGAGGTTTGATGCCAAAGCCCACCGGTCTCAGTGTGCTGCCACTTTCCCTGAGATCATTCCAGCAAGGCTGCCTGTTTTCCCCAGGAGTCCCTACTGAGGAGAAGGACAGTCCCAATCCCTGATAATTGATTCTTTCCTGGTTTTTTTTGGTATCATTAATCTACAATTACATTGTAGATTACATACATACAAATACATACATGAAGAACATTATGTTTACTAGGCTCCCCCCTCACCAAGTCCCCCCCCCATATACCCCTTCACAGTCACTGTCCATCAACATAGTAAGATGCTGTAGAATCGCTACTTGTCTTCTCTGTGTTGCA